ACAGTGTTAGATTGTTTAGTTGAATTCAAACACCTATAGTATTTAGATGCCAATAGAATATTCACCTCTGACAGGACAAAAAAAAAGGATACAAAGGAAAGATCATTTTGTATTTATATATACAAAATAGGATAAATTCACAGCTACTTTCGCTTAATTCAATGAGAAGAAAGAGGTGTACTAACAATGCTTGGACAGAATATCCTGTCTGCTTCTTGTACTATGGATAACCACTAAAAAGATAACAATGTACAGTGTATTGTCTCATTCATATTTATTTCTCAATAAAAATAAATAAAAAAAAAAGAAGTGCACCGTATTGTGTGAGGGTGGCCAACTGTGCAAGAAATAGTGGCCTGGGAAAGGACGCCGCTTCCCAAAGGCTGAAAGAAAGAGATAGAAATCAGGAGAAATATTTACTACGGGATTGGAAAGAAATATTTTGTTTTGTTTTTTGGGTTTTTTTCTTTTTTTCACCAGGAATCAAGCTTATTACCTCACGCTTCCCAGGCAGGCATTGTGCCACTGAGCTATATCCCCTGTTCCTGAAAGGAAATTATCAGAATGGTTTCTGGTGGCATCACTAGAATTTTGGAGATAAGAGTAAAAAAGAGGGGCCGATGAAAATAGCTCAGCAGATTAAAGTGCCTGCTAGCAGGTACAGTGGTTGGGGGTTTGATCCCTGGGCCTGCCGTGCCGGCCCTGTGCCCAGGGGCACACTGAGACATCAGTTGAGACTGGGTGTGGTGGAGCATGCCTGTAATTCCAGCTCTTGGGAGGCTGTAGACAAGCAGATCATTACGAGTCCAATCTAGTAATGAGACCCTGAACACCCTGTAGACCCTTCCTTAAAAGATATAAAATAAATAAATACAGTGTTTAAAAAAAAAGTGAAAAAGAAAAATATGAAAAGGCACTGACTCTGTGTGTGTGTGTGTGTGTGTGTGTGTGTGTGTGTTTGCAGAATTTCACTACACAGCTCAGACTCATAGTGATCTTCCTGATTTCTGCCTCCTTAGTGCTGGGATTACAGGAGTGTACCACCAACGTCCAGACTAAGGCACTGACTTGTAGTTGGAATAAAACAACAAAGAATTGCACAAAAATTTAACATATAGATGTAAGAACACTTGAGATGTAATAACATTAGACCTGAAGCCAGACATAATTGTGCATGCCTGTCATCCCAGCGTTCTGGGAGGCTATGGCAGGAAAGTTTGAGCCCAGCCTGAGCAATTTAGGATTGTAACAAGACCTTATCTCAAAATGAAAAAAAGCTAAAAATGTAGAAAAAATGGAACTGAATCTGGGAAAAAGTGAATGAAGGATGTGATCAAGTGAGGAAAAATTTTAAAGAATTCTTGAATTCAAAGGAAAAATACCAGTCCTGGGGATGGTGGCACAAGCCTGTTATTGCAGCACTCAAGGGGATAAGGCAGGAGGATTGCTGTTTGAGACCAGCCTGGGCTCATAGTAAGTTCAAGGCTAGCCTGAGCTATATAGAGAGATTCTGCCTCAAACAAAATAAAACAAAAAAGACCAAAAGATTAAATTAGAACAAAGGACCAGCAATGAAAACCACAGAATGGAAGATGAAAGATACTAGGAGGAAACAGAAATTTAGTTTAGGGAAACTGGCTGCTCAGAAAGACAAAAGTTGGCTAAAGTGATTGTGCAGTGGAAACATAGCCACCAGTGTCTGGGATGTGGCTCAGTGGTAATGTGGTTTTCTTTTATGCACAAGCTCTAATTTTGATCTCCTGCACTGTGAAAATTAAAAAAGAAAAGAAAAGAAAAAGGCCCAACACAAAACAACACACTTCCCCAACATCTTCACCAGAGAACTGTACTGAGTTCCAGTGCTCCCAGGTTAGCACTGTGTACAAGTAATATGTTAAAGGTCAACTGATTTTAGGTTTATTCTGACAAAAGATTGTTTTTGTCTTTTGGAAACAGGGTCTCACTGTGCAGTTCAAGCTGGCCTTGAGCTCACTTTGTAGCCCAGGCTGGTGTTGAAGTTGCACCATTTGGCTGAGCTAAGCCATCTTACCCATTTCAGGAGTATGTGAAGGAATCTCACAGACAGGATGTGTGTGTCATTGTCCTGGGATGCTGTGCAATTGGCACCATGTTGCGTCCCTCCACAGATGGAAAGATGCAAAGCAACTGCTCCCTAGGAGGTGTGGGGACGATGTGCTCATTGAGTGAATGCAGGAAGCAGTCAGCTATCCAGGTGTCTAATATCCTGGGAATGGATGTTTGTGCCATTGACCTGTTGACAAAAGATGACAGCTCCATGTCTACAAGGCCGGTGCAAATCATTTTCAGGGGCCAAAAAAACCAAATACAAACAAATAAAAATATACCCAGAGCAGAAAGTGTTTCTTCTTCCACCTTCCTGATGGTAAGGGAGAAGTACTGAGAACGTTCGGGGTCAGTGCCCTCCTAAACTCCCTAGAATATAGTTGT